GGCTGATTCCGTAAAGAAAAGGGCCTCGGACGAAACGATAGCCCACCGACACCCGGCCGACTATGAACTTTGGACCGATGGGTCCTACGTTGCCGAAACTTCCTCGGTTGCCGGAGCAGCGCTTCTCTTTGCCAAAGGAATCGAGAGCTACACAACAGTTTCCGTCTGTGGTAAGGGACGCTCTAGTCTTCGCTCCGAGTGCCTGGCTCTCCATGCCGGCCTCCATCGAGTCATCGCAGACCGAACCCTCCACCGTGGTCAGCGTCTCCTGGTCGCCTCCGACAGTCAGTCATTACTTACGGCTCTGCGGTGCCACACAGCACGGACGACGAACTCCACTTTTACAGAGTGCGTCGAGATGTTGAATGGGTTGGCTGACAGGGGCGTCAAGATCTGCCTGCAGTTTGTTTTCGGTCACTGTGGCGTCTCACGCAATGAGCTCGCCGACGTGGCTTCGAATGCAGCGCACGGGTGCAGCACGCGCTACCCTCTCTGGCACAAGGATGCCCTCAGCATCGCCAGAGGCAAAATAGCGACCGAGGCGTCCAAGAAGCTGGAAGCCCGCGAATCGCATCGCCGGCGGGTGGTTGGGCTCAGACCAACTAAGACCAAACACCTTACTGGTGTGCGTCTCCTCGATTGCCTGGCAAGCCAGGCTCGTACAAACTGGTCGCCGTATTGGGGTGACCTACATCGCACTATGAGCCCATCGGCTCCAAAGGCGTGTCGCTTCTGCTCGAACCCACCAACATCATCTTCAGTCGCCCCGCCCATCGCACAGTCCCGGAAACGCGGTCGAACCACCGACGCAGTCGAGTGCCCTGAGTGCTCCATTGTCCTTGCCTCACGCTCGTCTGGTGTTGGACACCTCAGAGCGACGCACGGCTATCCCCACCAGGAAGCGCTTCGTCTTCTTCGGAGTGCGCCGCCTGCGCCACCCGGTGACCGCACAGGGCCACATAAGTGCCCCTACTGCCCGAGGATGTTCAGGTTTGTGCCTACCGTGAACCGGCATGTTGTGGAGAAGCACCGCGATGAAGCCCGGATCAGGCGCGCGCGTCCCGCAGCGCAACCTGCGACGTCACCTACCCCAAGCGGACCGTGTCACCTGTGCAGCTTCACGAGCCGAACGAAAGCAGGGCTCACCTCCCACCTTCTCCGCACCCATAACTTCGACCGCCGCTTACCCAAGCGTCATCGGTCCAACGACTGCGAAGAGTCTGTGGAGCACCTCCTGTTTCACTGCCCGCGTTTCTCCGCCCTGCGGATAAAGCATGCCATCCGGCCACCAGGAGACCCCGATCAATGGTTTGAGCGCAGAATCCCTGAGTTCCTTGTCGACGCCTTACAACTCCTTGATGATCCATCAGATTGTCGCACCGGAGAACTGCCTTCTGTGACCGCCTCCCTGAAGAAGTCTTCAGCCGAGGCACGAGTTTTATCTTGTGCAAAATTTATCTTTTCCAATTGTAAACCTTTTATAAAAACTGCGGCGAACGCAGTGGCCACCCTTATTGGGTGCGCCTCCCGATCCCTTAAGAAGAGAGCCAGGGATTGACACTTGAGCGGCACGTGCTGATGCGCTCTCACACACACACACACACACACACAAATTCACCGGGGAAGTCTCTCTCGAAAACCTGCCGAAATGCCTTGAATATTTCTCGCTCCAAAATAATCAGCTAAGCGCTAACCCGACGAAAGGACACCTCTCCGTGGTGGGTTGGACCAGTACCCCAGTTTTGGGGGAAGCCAAGAACCTTTTTAAACCCCTCGTCGTGTTTCTGTCATGGCGCCGACCCTATTGATGGCCATCGCAAGGTGGTGGGACAGGACCAGTACCCAGCCCTTGGGGAGGTTCGGGAAACCGCCAAATTACTTCCAAGGGGAGAATCTCCTTGGTGGCGAGACGAGGGAAGACATCTACTAATCCTCTGTTGTTTTCAATCCGCGGGATGAGATTAGCCCACATGAATAACGCGAAAAGCAGAGAGCATGCGCATACGTGTCGAAAGGCACGTGCAATTTTCAAATTGCGCTATAAAAACAAAAACAAAACAAATCAGCTAAGCGGGACAATATGTTTGACCTCCCTTACACCAGCCTTGGATACTAGTGGAGTTTTACTGTAAATAATTCTGTTTTTACGGCAAGATATTCTATTTCTCTGCCTATTTCAGGATACTTAATTTCACGAACTAAAAGTTTCTCGGGCAGCTGGTTATATGGCGAAGATCGACCCGAAGGCCTGGTGTTTCTGGCCGAGCTTCAAGACCAGGACACTGTACGAGATCCGACAAGAAACACTGTAGAAAGCGCCAACTCATTTGTGTGAACTCTTGCTAGGGAAATGATAGCACGACTGCATAGATGCTCCTATTGCGTCAATTTTCATTTTTTCTTTATGCACAAAATGCTTTCAAACGTATACACAACAGTTTACTTCACATGCGCTGACGATGGAATTGGCAGATTCGACCGCTCGACGGCATCGCAGCAAAGCTTAATGGAGCTTTTCATATTTGGGCTGAATGAACCAGAGAAGATATGTGGCAATCGGGAAGATCCGTCTGATGTATGTGAATGGAAGGGGTGAAGTGCAAGGGTGATGGGGAAGTCGAGGAGTTTCGGTGGGTTTTTAAAAAACAGGATGGGACTGGTACACCTGTCTTCGAGTTTTTTCCATGCAGTATGAAAACTGTGCGGATGTTCTGGAACGCCCTCAGTGGTACAATCCAGCTTGCGGATCTCCCGGAGAAGATAGAGGTAGTATATACTTCTTTGAACAACTTGATCGGCAGTCTCGACCTCGACAGTCTGCCCGCTGTGGTTCGAAGCCTACATCTCGGTAAAAACGAATTCACCGCTAACCCGACGAAAGGACACTTCTCCGTGGTGGGTTGGACCAGTACCCCAGTTTTGGGGGAAGCCAAGAACCTTTTCAAACCCCTTGTCGTGTTTCTGTCATGGCGCCGACCCTATTGATGGCCATCGCAAGGTGGTGGGTCAGGACCAGTACCCAGCCCTTGGGGAGGTTCGGGAAACCGCCAAATTACTTCCAAAGGGAGAATCTCCTTGGTGGCGAGACGAGGGAAGACATCTACTAATCCTCTGTTGTTTCAATCCGCGGGATGAGATTAGCCCACATGCATAACGCGAAAAGCAGAGAGCATGCGCATACGTGTCGAAAGGCACGTGCAATTTTCAAATTGCGCTATACAAAAAATCAGTTGAGTGGCACAATATGTTTGACCTCCCTTCCGCCAACCTTGAAAACTCTTAATCTAGGAAGAAACAACCTTGAAGGTTCATTGGACTGCACACGACTGCCAAAATCAATGAGGTCCATACAACTTTCAAAGAATCGCTGTTGAGGCACAATCGACTTAGGGAATCTGCCTAAAAGTATACTGTCTTTAAGCGTTAGCAAGAACTCGATAAGTGGAGCAATGCGGGTGCCACAGAGCCTTATAGTCGACGTTGATGAAAATGACGAACTTACTGTGGAACGCATTGAAAAAAAAGCCGAATTTAATTGACATTATAACGATAGCAAACACCAATTTGAGATTTATTGGAAAACCCGTGATTATTTTGAATGTGACAGTTTCAAGAAATGACCATTAAGTGTTTGACAAGAGTGGTTTGCTTTGTATTCTTCATCATGAAAGCCTCGAGTTGACGTCTCATCTTCTTGTGCGTGTATTGCAATTTCTAGGGACTCCAATGTCAAAGAGTACGACTGTTGGGTGCCCGGTTGCGACAGTGAGGAGGAGGAAGAGAAGAACCACGCCATTTATTATTGTGAAAGAGGAACCGGCTCTATTGGAAATGTAACGAAACGAAGAAATTATCTCAAGAAATGGTAAACAAATATTTTACTTCGTGAGTGGAATGCATCGATGAGCGCCTACTGATGTGTGTGTGCAAGACCACTCGGCTTGTCAACTTGTCACCAGTCACGTGCTCCTGGTCTCTTTCAGAAAAGAAGAACCATAAACAAAAAGGGAATGGACGAAGGGCGGTTGAGTTTCTATCTCGAATTATCTCGTCATTTTTGAATATTTCTTTATGCACAAAATGTTGTCAAAACTGTAGGCGGTAGCTTACTTCACATGCGCCGACTTTTACCAGTGAATACCTTGCCGGGTGGTGGCCAGCACAATTGCATCGGCACGTGCAGCACCCAGTGACCCCCACGAAGACCCTAGTGTAACAAATGCGTGCTCTTCTCGCCAGATTGTGTCACTACGGTGCTTTCAAATCTATTTCTCCGATTTCGATGTCGTAACTTTATGTGTGTCCACAATTAAGGAGTGTGGAATCGGCACCACCCAACGATATATTAACCACAATAGCGACACACTTCGTGAGCGGATGCTGCGAGGTTGCACACCTAAACTGCATGCCCTTTTGTGCACCATCCTTCAATTCAAACTATAAGTTCAATGAATTATATTTCGTTATATCTGTAAAATTCTTCGTTCTATCTGTCTATTCTATTCTGTAAACCTGTTTTCAATGTTTTCGCTGTGCGCACTCGTGGTCACTTCTGCTGATGTTTCAAATATTCCGCCTGGCGACAAAAACTCCGTCCCACTGCAATGGCAAACCACTTTAATGGACCGTTTTTATTCGCCGAAAAGTGAAGTAATGGCCGAAAGTCAGAGTACAAAAGAAAGGAAAGTTGAGCAGCGGGAAGTGATCGAAATGCCCCTTTGCGTGACTATTGCGACTGAGGGAGTGTGAAGTGCGTCGAAGGGATTGTGGTTGAGGTAGAACACATATATCGTCACGATAAATTGATGGATATTCACGTGTTGCCACCGGCCGTGGAGTATATCCATTTAACAAAATGCTCGCTGGACTACGCACTTCACACGCGAGCGTTGCCACATGCATTGAAGTATTGCAACGTTTGACGAAATCAGCTTCATGGGTCTGTCGGGTTGCGAACCCTTCCGGAGCACCTGGTAAATCTCAATCTGTGTACAAATCGGCTCGTTGGTCCTGTTGATCTCACAGAATTACCACGGGATCTGAAAACCCTCAGTCTGTACCACAACCGTATCCAGCAATCGGTTGTCTTCTTTGGCCATCTTCCACCAAACTTGATATCCATCTGCTTTAACTATCAGGTAAGAAACAACCGAATCGGCGAGCTCCGCGGCACATCCACTGAAAATGTGGAAAGGCTTGGGAAACTTTTCCGGGGCATTCCGTTGAAACACATTCATATAGAATGAGAAAGGTCTGCGAAGCCTATTCCGCACGCTATAGTGGGAAATGAGTTTACTATTCTATAATAATAATAATTCCATTTGCGTTTCGCGATTTGGCTGCGAATCTTGCGTGTTCAGGTAGT